CTCTCTGAAGGAGGTGGTGCAAAGGCATGGTAAGTTACATACTGTTTCAGTGTTTCTACAGTTAAGATGACATGCTTTTGCAGTCTTGCTGCGTACTGTATAACTTCAGATCACTATCTTAATTTTCTAAATGTCCAATAAGTGGTGGGCACAGATGTCTAGCTTATCTTTGAGTTTGTATATAACTTCTTTTCTAGATCAAGAAATTACGAGTTTCTAATCAGCATGAAACACAATTTTATGGGCATTAGCCTGTGTGTTTGGTGATGATTATATATCACGGTGCTTGCTAGTTGATACAAACATGTTTTCCTGATAGATAAGTACATAAAAAGCTTACCATACAATTGTATAAATAAGAGGTCAGCTCTTCGAAGAAAGTTTATGTCCTACACAATATCTGAATGGCAAATTCGATTAGTAAAGCGCACAGTTATACTAGTAATATTCAACATTCAGTGTCTCTAGTTTTGACTTGTGCTTAATCTTGCTGATGGAACAGAGAACAAGTGTTGGCTCCTGATAGTGCAGGGCAGTCTTTCAGGTACTTCACTCACCAACAATTCCATATATTTGCCAGCACTTGTTGCCTGTCTAATTTTTTGCCGCTTGTATTATTTATGCATATAATGAAGCTCTAGATTCGACAAAGAAATCCAGCCATGATGGTTATTGCAGTTGGACAGTTTCTCTTGGCACTTGTGGCTTGCAGTACCCATGTCGTCGTCTGCTCCTCACATGGAAATGCGACAGATCGGTTATCACTGCTTGAATTCAAGGAGGCAATCAGTCTTGATCCCCAGCAAGCTCTGATGTCCTGGAATGACAGCACTGACTTCTGTAACTGGGAAGGTGTCTCGTGTAGGCCTAAGAATCGACATCGCGTCACTTCCCTTGACCTCAGCGGTCGAGGCTTACAAGGGTGCATCTCTCTTTCACTTGGAGATCTTACATTTCTAAGAAATCTATCCCTACCAGGCAATCTGTTCATTGGACAAATCCCTGCGTCCCTTGGTCACCTGCAGCACCTCCAAAATCTCTACTTGAGTAATAACACACTCGAGGGTGAGATACCAGACTTCGCAAATTGTTCTAGTCTGCAGATGCTATGGCTGGATCGCAATCACCTAGTTGGACAAATCCCTACACATGCCAATTTTGCTCCTCACCTTCAAAGCCTGCTGATTTCATATAACAATCTTACCAGCAAAATTCCCGTTTCACTTTTTAACGTCACAACACTGACTCGACTTGATATCTCATCAAATCGGATCAGTGGCGAGATCCCAAGTGAAATCGGAAATATGCCCATGCTGCAATTCTTTTTCACCTGGGGAAATAAGCTATCAGGAAGGTTCCAACCAGCCATCCTCAATGTGTCTTCTCTTGTTGTACTAAGCCTTGCCTCCAACTATCTAAGTGGCCAACTGCCATCCAACCTTGGTAGTTCATCACCCAATCTTCAAAAGTTTGGTTTATTTAACAACTTGTTCGATGGGCCTATCCCAAATTCGCTGGTGAATGCTTCTAAGCTATCCTTGGTTGATTTGTCGAGTAATAATTTCACTGGGGTGGTGCCTAGTTCTATTGGCAAACTTAAAGAGCTCTCCTGGTTGAATCTTGAATACAATCAATTACAAGCACGTGACAAGCAAGACTGGGAGTTTATGAATAGTCTAAGCAATTGCACTGAGCTACAGAAATTGTCGCTGCGTGGGAATCGTCTTGAAGGACGGTTATCAGATTCATTTGCCAACCTTTCTGCCAAACTTGAAATGTTCTTCTTCGGAAGAAACAGACTATCAGGGGGTTTTCCTGCCGGTATAGCTAACCTTCACAGCCTGAAGTTTTTGGCATTGGATGAAAACCAGTTTACCGGTGTCATTCCGGAATGGCTAGGGACTCTGGAGAACTTGCGGGGTATCGTATTAAGGAACAATGCTTTTACAGGATATATTCCATCTTCCCTCTCTAATTTATCTCTACTGGGGCAACTCTTTTTGGATTCTAACCAGTTGTATGGGCATATACCCCCGAGCTTGGGAAACCTCAAAACCCTTGAATCATTGGAACTTTCCAATAACATTCTTGATGGTAGCATTCCAAAGGAGATATTCAGCATTCCTACAATTAGAGAAATTGCGCTATCTTCAAATAGCCTAGGTGGACCACTTCCTACTGAAGTAGGCCGTGCCAAGAAACTACAGTACTTGTATCTTTCATCTAATAACCTGTCCAGTGCCATCCCTGACACACTGGGTAACTGTCACAGTATGGAATACATTGAGTTGGATCAGAATTTTCTTAGTGGAAGCATTCCAGTGTCACTGGGCAGCATCAGAAACTTGCAAGTACTCAATGTATCTCATAACCACTTATCAGGATCCATACCAAAGTCTATTGGCAGCCTGATGTATCTTGAACAACTAGATTTGTCATTCAACCATCTTGAAGGTGAAGTCCCAGAAACAGGTATATTCAAGAATGTGACCGCTTTATGGGTGGATGGGAACAAGGGGCTTTGCGGTGGTGCAGCGAAGCTACACCTACCGGCCTGCCCTGCTATTCCTTCAAATTCAACTAAGCACGTGAGATCAACAGTGCTCAAAGTAGTAATCCCGTTAGTCAGCATGGTATCACTTGCTGTGGTCATATCTGTCTTGCTATTCTGGAGGAGAAAACGGAAGAAGGTTTACATGTCTCTTCCTTCTTTTGGTCGAAAGTTTCCCAGGGTTTCTTGCCACGATCTTGATAGAGCAACTGATGGATTCTCCACATCCAACTTGATTGGCAGAGGAGGATACAGTTCTGTGTACAAAGGTAGACTGTTGCAAGATGGAACTACTGTTGCTGTGAAAGTTTTCACCCTAGAGACAAGAGGAGCACAAAAGAGCTTCATTGTGGAATGCAATGCTTTGAGAAATGCGCGGCACCGGAATCTAGTTCCTATCCTAACTGCTTGCTCGAGTATCGATTCTAAAGGGAATGATTTCAAAGCCCTAGTATATGAATTCATGCCAAAGGGTGACTTGCAAGCACTACTGTACTCAGCTTTGGGAGATGAAAACACTTCAAATTCAGAGCGCATTACACTAGCACAAAGGTTGAGCATTGTGGTGGATGTAGCAGATGCACTGGAGTACCTCCACCATGACAACCAAGGAGCTATTGTTCATTGTGATTTGAAGCCTAGCAACATTCTTTTGGATGATAATATGACAGCTCATGTTGGAGATTTTGGCCTTGCGAGATTCAAAGCTGGTCCGACACAGTCATATTTCAGTGACTCGAACTCTGCTTCTTCGACTATAATAAAAGGAACGATCGGATATGTCGCTCCAGGTGATGTCTGTTGTTCATTTTCATGTTGTACCATATATGTTACAGCGTAACTTGAGAATGACTCCTTATTTATGATGCTTATGTTAATATTTTGACTAAACTATCGTTGTACGTGTTGTTACACAGTGGGCAACTGGTGGTGAAGTTTCAGTTGCTGGGGACGTTTATAGCTATGGGATTATTCTGTTCGAAACATTTTTGAGGAAGAGACCGACAGAAGATATGTTCAAGGATGGACTGAGCATCGCAAACTTTGTTGAGATGAATTTTCCTGCTGGGATATCATAGATTGTTGACTCTGAATTGCTACAAGATCGTCCAGCAGCCACGAAGGAAAAAGATTTGGACTGTTTAGTCTCGGTGCTAAACGTTGGACTTTGCTGCACCAAGTTGTCCCCGAATGAGCGCCCCAACATGCATGAAGTGGCTGCAAGCCTTCATGGAGTTAGGGAGGCATATCTTGGAGGAAGATAAGGTAAACACTTATTTAGTCTTTAATGCCGTAGGTGTTGTACATAATTTACATAAGGTTTATCACTAAATGTCTAAATGCATGTGCCATTTCTTTGCAAATAAGACCACAGTAGGCGAACTAACCTGATGCTTGTAGTCCCGCAGGTTGCCTCAAAAACCTGACCACAGGAGGTGGCTGCTGCGAACAACGAGTTTGTGGCTTCTGAATGTATGGTCAGGGTGTTCTACTACAAGTTTATTTTGCTGGAGTACTGTTGTGCAATGCGCTCAGTCTCTGATGTTACTCAAAGCAGAGTCTGGGTGATGGCTCTGGTTGGGATAATTTCGGGTTACATGTATTTTAAGGAATTAAGTAGCTGGTTCCATGCTTTGCATGTTACTAGTAGTATGATGATTGCTTTCGTGGGCATTGTTGCAATATGATTTGCTGGTCTAGACTCTTTTGATGTAGAAGTGGTGACTATTTTCTTACAGCTTGAGCCTACATCCTATATATGTTTTTCTCAATCCATGTAGAGATTAAATTGATCATGCATCTGTACATGTAAGTTGAAGTTTTTAGAAAGATCTCCTTGATATATACACGGAATTTGGTTGGAAAACAGTGAACTATCCAAGTTTCCTGTCTGGAACCCTATGTTGAAGCAAGGAGGGAGAAGGGATGGGGAAGAGGGTCAGCTCGGATGGGTGTGGCCATGTGGCAAAGGGAAAGCACACGCCCTTGGGCGAGGGTGGAGGGGGAGCGGCAAAAGTTGCCTTTTTCAACGGGGCTGGGGATGGCATAGCAAACTCTATCCTAAGTCCTCGACACCTATCATTGCGATCCCGTGACTCCTAAGAATGCTGCCAGTTTGGAGGCCTGGAGCATGCTACAGCTGCGCTCCGGTTGAAAACATGGAAATGAAAAAAAAAAGATTCTAAACATTACAATGGAAGTATCCAACATCGAGCTGACCAGGTTCAGTGCTTAAAAGCTTCACAGCACACACAGATGCATAATTCTTCTTCGAAAGCTAGAAATTTCTCATAATTGTCACTAGGCTATTTCTATGAGCAAACAGCAGAATGCATTCACCTCACGCCAATACTTCATCTTAATCAAGCCAACTTGGCACCAGGAAACCCAGGATACCAGAGGCCTTCACACTGGAGTCATAACCTGAAACCCAGGATATCAGAGGCCTTCACATTGGAGTCATAACCTGCTGCTGGCTCCCCTCAATAATAACCAGTGATTCCCCAAGCAGCCTTTGTGCCTCCTCTCTCCTCCTGAAATTAATAGAAAGAAAATACTTAATAAGGCTGTTAAAATAGCCTAGTTACAATAGTATCAGATGAATTAATGCCATAATTAACATCACTCATTAAAAGAACATTACATGTTGGAAGATCCAAACAAACACATGTAACATACCATACAGTGCCTGCTCACAAATACTGTACAACAGTGGCAAACCACTTGTGCATACAGCATGTGCTCTTTACAAATCAATAGAAAACACTTGATTCGACATCAACAACATCACCGTTACCAACTTTTGAGCTATATTCAATCGTTTGAACTGCAGCAGCAAGTTCTGGCTGGGAGCAACTTTTGGTCTCCCAAGTTGCAGCAGATAACTAACCCGAGCTTTCTCTACGTCTGACATGCAGTTAGTGGTATGAGCGAAACAGAAAAAACTAATATTATAGAAGTCCTTCCTGATTAACAATTCATACTTGTATAAGGATGATAGGATAACATAATGATGATTATAGAACAGCATGATTATTGACACAATACAGTTCCCCTTGACATTATTACAAACGTACAGATATATGATGGTTGCTTCAGTGTACAGTACATGATTTCCAGGGACCAGGCAATCTAATAAAGCTAATGATAATACACCTGTATTCTGTAAGAGGTATTGACGCATAGCTAGTTGTCTATCCTTGTCTATAAATCATGTCGAATGGAAGATCAACAGTATGCTGAATTGCTGATTTAAACAGCCAAGTCAAACTGAAAAAAGTTTAGTTACTCACTGTTTTATATCCTCAATCGCTTGCTTACGACGCTGTATTTGGCTCTCAAGGAGGTGAATCAATGTTGCTCTTGCCTAAAAGAAAAAAGAAAATGAGTTATGGTAGTGAATTGCAGAAATAAATACACCATATGAAATGGAAACTGGGGCTCATACCTGGTGTGGTCGTAGGGAATTAAGAAGATGGTGCAAGTTCTTGAAAATGAGTGAAATGTCTTCAACCCTGCGGGCATACTGAGATGGTCTCTCCACTAAAATATCCGCTAGCTCCAAGATATGGAGTTGAAGCTCTCTGTTGAGTGTCCTTAGCTCCTTCTTGAAGTCTGAAGGATAATCAGTTTAGCAAATATCGAGCCCACTACATCAAATAAGATAAACAGTACTTTGCGCTCGAAGCATATAAGAAGTCCAATGTTCAGAAATTCAGTAGCTAGTAGCTGCTACGTCGGCTAGCGAGTAGGGATTAATCGGCCGATAAATGAGTTCATCGGCTACTCCGTAACCCACGGAGCAGGGATCAATCGGCCAGTTAACTGATTTATTGGCTGGTATTTTGAACAATAAGAAGAACCACTTTGGTTCGTCATAGTTTACGACAGTAGCCTTAAACCATTTAACATATCACAGAGTAACCATTTGAAGTACATTATAGTACATCACTACACAAGTGTTGACAGGAATGAGACGCACCGATATCTGGACCCTTTGGGTAAAGCTGGCGAACACCTTGATCCTCCAGACTTGGCAGCACCACATCCGTCTACAGAGGCAAAACCCGGAGTCAGACTTGACACAGGCACTGAAACATTACGACGAAGAATGTGGTGAGCAACATACTGTGTAGGTAGCACCAAAGAGCTGGTACGACCCCTCGATCGGCGGTGGAGGCTCCGGCGCAGACGAGGGGTCCTGCTCGAAGTCCTTGTACAGCCGGTAGAACGGAGGAGGCGGAGGGTACGCCGACGACGTCGCCATTGCCATCTCGCCTTATTCTTCTGCGCACAAGGAATCGAGACGAGGACCGAGAGGAACTAGGGTTACATTTGAATCGGAGAAAGTGAGTGAAATGGCAGGGCTGGGAACGGGGGGGAGAGGCGCAGTAGGCAGGAGAAGCTGCAAGTAATACAGATTCGTACCTCGAGGAGCGACCACGGGGACGGAGGGCCGCCGGCGAGCGGCGGCGAGCGAGCGGAGACGGGAGACGGGACGAGGCCGATGCGGGAGGCGACTGACCTTGGTTCGAGATGGGACGGTGGTGATGGGCCAGGATCCACGAGGTTCCATCTGAACCGTCCATTTGCCATCGGACGGCGCACGAGTCGCGGGTCGAGTCCTTTTTGCGTCCACGTCCCTAGATTGAATCGTTTTTCTGAAAAGGAGCCCCCGCACCTTCCGCCTCCGCAAGAAAGAAAGGAAAAGAGGGGAAGCAAAGCGCAAACGCGGCCGTCGCAGCAGCCAGCAGAGGAGCAGCCGCACACCCGACCGCAGCCGTACGCCGCAGATCCGCCGCCGCGCTAGGGTTTTCGCGCCGAGGGGAGAGGGGAGATGGACGTGGTGAAGGCGGCGCAGCTGTCGGGGCGGACGCTGGAGAAGGTGGTGGTGCACCCGCTGGTGCTGCTCAGCATCGTCGACCACTACAACCGCGTCGCCCGCGACACCAGGAAGCGCGTCGTCGGCGTGCTCCTCGGCACCTCCTCCCGCGGCGTCGTCGACGTCACCAACTCCTACGCCGGTAAGCGAACGACCGAACCCCTCTGCCCGCCCGTCTCTGCCCTGCTAGGGTTTGCGCCGTCCGGGTCCGCCCCGCCTGTTTCCGGGGGATCTGCGCCTCTGGCGGGGCCTAGGGTTCGCGGAACCCGCCCTGGCTGTAGCTGCTGTTAGATCCGCTGGCGCGAAACCCTTGCGTGATTAGATCTGCAGAGCTGTTTTACGGTGGTGGCCTACTGAATTTGTGAATTGCGGCGGCGTGTGATCTTGCAGTGCCGTTTGAGGAGGATGACAAGGACCCGAGGATCTGGTTCCTCGACCATAATTACCATGAGTCTATGTTCTCCATGTTCAAGAGGATCAACGGTATGCTGTTTTAGAATTTTTAGATATGCTTGGACTTGGAATGTGTGATTGTTTCTGTTGAATACTGATGAGCTGGTTCGGATGCAGCCAAGGAGCATGTTGTTGGCTGGTACAGCACTGGTCCAAAACTAAAGGAGAACGACTTGGATGTTCATGCATTGTTTACCAAGTATGATTCTGCTCTGCAACCATTTATCCCGCAGTAATTTAGAAGCTCTTCTCAGTTTGTACACAATTGTTTGGTACAATGTTGGAATGCAAGCGTGAACTCTTCAAGGAGGCTAGCTGTCTCTATGAAGTATTTACCATTCAATCATAATCTAGTTTGGTTTCAGTTGCTGTTTAATTTTGTGCATCTAGTTCCACATGTGGCTGCAGAAATTTCGCCTGTGCACAAAACTTTGTTGTACTCATCTGTGAAGAAATATAAGAGCGTTCAGATCACTACTTTAGTGATCTAGTGATCTAAATGCTCTTATATTTCTTTACAAAGGGAGTACAAATTAGTCGCAAAGCTCCCAAAATGCATGGCTATTTTTTATTTTTCCTTCAGTTGTGCTACTGTCCAGAGCGATGGGAAAGTTCTGATGGCCTTATGTAGAGTGTGTAATTTAGATGTCCTGATATATGGTGTTAGTTATGAAAGAATTGGCAATCTTAGGCATTACGGTGAATAGTCAGCCTGATGATATTTACGTTGGATTGGTCTGCTACTGTAATTCCTCTCCCTCCATCAGTAAAACAATCTAATGTTTAATCAACTTGTTTGCTTGAACCGACTCATGACTTTAGTGACATGGTTGCACCTTTATATGATTTCGGAAGATAAAAGAACAGTGTTAAAATTACCGTACATACATACTTTGCGTTCACTACCCTTTATGTATCATTTTTTGGGGGGTGTTGATGGTGGGGACTGGGTTTGGTGCTGGAACTATCCTTTTTTCTGCCACCCTTCTAAACTAATGTTATTCCTATGGGTTAGATCCCAGGATGCCTTTCTTGTATTCCCTTGTTAGGCGCTTAATCTTATGCAGTTAATTTTTTTTCTTTACATTGTGCAGCTATGTTCCTAATCCTGTCCTGGTGATTATTGATGTTCAACCCAAGGAGTTGGGAATACCCACCAAAGCATATTATGCTGTAGAAGAGGTTAAAGAGGTGGGTGCATGGTCTAAGATGTTAGAGATTTGATGTTTGCTTATTCGGCTTCACTAATGTGATATGGTTTTCCTTTACAGAATGCTACTCAGAAAAGTCAGAAGGTGTTCGTCCACGTGCCATCAGAAATTGCAGCCCATGAAGTCGAGGAAATTGGTAAGAACTAGTCTGTTTGAAATTGCATGAGGAAAGGGCATCATGTTTGGCACTTTCAAGTTATAGATTCAGTAGTTCAGTCACGCTTTCTGATAACTAGTCACTTTCTGCAAGAAATCAATGTTCAGGATATCTGTAACTGGTACCATATCGGTTGGGTGCTGAGTAGGGATAAATAGGCGAATTTTCCAGTTAATCGGCTATTCAGTGACCCGCTGAGTAGCATTAACTGACCGATATGCCGATTAACTGGCTGATTTTTGGAACAATGCAAGAAATATAATTTTGTTTGAGAGGTTTTGGGTTCACTTCATAACTTTAGCTGATGTATGCTTTATGCTCTCTTCAGGAGTTGAGCACCTTCTGAGGGATGTGAAAGACACAACAATAAGCACACTTGCAACAGAGGTAATGTTTCATAAGAATTAAGATGGCTGGATACAGGTTGCAGCTTGTGCCCCTATTTTTCATTTGCCAATGTAGGTCAGCAGCAAGCTTGCAGCCCTGAAAGGACTCGATGCGAGGCTTACGGAGATCCGGGGTTATCTAGATCTTGTAATTGAAGGGAAGCTCCCACTGAACCACGAGATTCTGTACCACTTGCAGGTGTGGCTCTCGCTATTTGTTACTCCCTCCATCCCAAAATAAGTGTCTCAAGCGTAGTACAACTTTACACTAAAGTTAGTACAAAGTTGAGACACTTATTTTGGGACGGAGAGTATATGTTATGTTAGACACTTCTTTTGGGGGGTAACATTCGATCATTTCTTCTGCTTGTGTCTCAGTAATCCCTATTATACTTGATCCTCACCAGGAAGTTCTGTTGTCCCCATGAACCTTAAATGTTTTAAATGTACATCTATATTCTTAAAGGTTATCTGGGACGAACTAGTTAATTGATGTAGTCTCTGGAAGAAAATTGTGATGCTTTAGTAGTCTCTGGAAGAAAATTGTGATGCTCGAGTACTCCCCGGAAGAAAATTGTGATGCTTTTTAGCGATGGATGTTTTTCCTTAGGAATTATATGAAAGTTGTGCAACCAGTGAGTGGTTGAAAGATACCTACTCTTAGGCCCTTCTCAGTGCCCCACCTTGTACAGGTGCTATTGCTATGGCTGCCAAGTAGGGAATTTTTTTGATGTGGCAAGATAATTAAGAAGAGAGAGAGGAGTTTGGTTACCCCAGGAAGAAACGATGCTAGATGCGCATACCTAGATGAAAACTCAATTTTCCATAAAAAAGACGAAAACTCGTCCACAACTAATTAAATGAAGGAAGCTTATCAACAAGAAGTTAAGCACTCATGCAATGGCAGAGGCCTTAGTGCGTGTGGTATCACTAGCAGTTTCCGCCAGAAGTTAAGGCAGATAGGATGCGAAGGGTGCTTTAAAGCCTTCAATACATCACTTTGGTTGGGGGATATACTATATGTGGGTGGTTAAATCATGCTTTTTATATGTCTGTTTTTCTGTCCTCAGAACAGTAATTTGTCTGTTCATGTTGTAGCTTCACCACTTATTAGGTCCCCAGTAGGATAAGAAAAACATGATAATTGATGATATATGCATGCCTTAACACATGAGATAATGCTTGATATTTTTAGCGAGTACTCAGAGTTGAGAACAGTTCAAAATTCATCCAAATTCTGTTACTGAAGCAGTTCTACATTTTTACTCATGGAGTGTAATATATTTGTTCTGTTTTTTTTCAGGATGTGTTTAATCTGCTCCCCAATCTCAACGTAAATGAGCTCATTAAAGCGTTTGCAGGTAATCATGCAAGTCGCCATCAGTTTACCAGAACCGGCTTGTTTTCCCCTTCCATTTTCTGGGTTTGCTTATTGCAGCAACTTTATATCTATCTTTTCATGCAGTGAAAACAAATGATATGATGCTGGTCATTTACCTGTCTTCTCTTATCCGGAGTGTCATTGCTCTCCACAATTTGATCAACAACAAGGTAAGTTGTTTCTGTCCGCTAGTTTAAGCTGTTGCCAATCCTTCCATCCTTAGCTATATTGGTGTCTTCATGTTGATCTTATGAAGTCAAGTTATACCCTTCTTTCTGCAAATTTTGCGATAAGTGTGTAATCTTTTATGTTATTCCTTCCAGATGCTAAACAAGGAACACGAGAAGGCCGAGGATTTGAAGCCAGCCGCCGTACCTACTGCAGCCGGGAGCTGAATGTCCTTGTTTGCCTCAACATGGGGATAGCGATCTATGACCCAGCATGGGGCAAAAGAAACTGTGACATGTTAGCATTGTCTCATTTGTACCAAGTGTCTTGACCTTCAATTTACACTTTGATGTTTACTTCATGTACGACGAGGTCAACGACAAAACCTTACATTCTGTGAGCTCTAGGTCTTTTTGAGGTTTATAATCTAGATCTTATACTGTTTCATCTGCCGTGTCATGGTTTGTGATGCGGATTATCTTAGTAAATGTATGCTTCGTTAGAAACATTACTGCCAGTTTACAATGTTGTCTTGGTGCTTTGGTAGAGTAGTCAGACTCTTTGGACAGATAAAGGGAATCAAACACCAAACGAAAGAACCTACTTGTACAGTTATATCGATGCTCCAAAATTTGATTGCTTTAGCACAGAAAAGGCAACCAAGACTAAGAGAAGGGAAATCATACATCTGATTCAGAAAAGTTCCTAGAACATCTTATATTTGTGAACGGAAGTAGTTCATACTACTCCCTCTGTTTTTAAATATTTGTCTTTGTAGACATTTCAAATGACTACTACATACGGATGTATGTAGACATATTTTAGAGTGTAGATTCACTCATTTTGCTTTGTATGTAGTCACTTGTTGAAATGCCTAGAAAGACAAGTATTTAACTTTCTGATTCTGAAGCATTGCTATCTCCAGATTAGTTCCAGGTTTGAATTTGTTATCTGCTGTTGAAACCGAATTGGAATTGGAATTTGAATTCGCTGCTGAAATAAGAATATACGGATACAAAAGCTTCAACTGGATGAAGTTTAAAGACGGGGAACGCGCATAGTAGTACTCTCAACTCAACCTCCTCCGCCGTGCCCAACCCCCCAACCCCCGTGATCGATTCCGATTCCGTGCCCGCGCGTCGAGCGATCAGCCCAGAGAGGTCGTCGACGAATCTCGCTCGTGTCCATCAGATCGCCATCGATGGCCTTCCCCTCTTTCACATGGCCTTTCCGCCGCCGAGCCGGCCCAAGCAAACCCTCCGCCGCGGAGGGGAAGGAGGAGGACGCGGAGGCGCTCGGCGTGACGCCGCAGCTCCTCGACTTCCTCCGGACGCTCTCCCCCGACGCCTTCAAGTCGTCCGCCCTCCAGCTCCACCAAGGCACCCCCTCCTTCCTCCCCTCTCGATTCCGCCCCCCTGCTAGTTCAGTCTCGATTACTGACGGTGATGCGCCATGTTGTCTCGCAGGGGCCTCCGCGGAGGCGGCGGGAGAGCTCTCGGACTGGCAGCAGCGGCACGCCGTCCTCGTGCTCGCCAGAGCCAAGGTAGGTCCCCCGCGGATCTCGTCCTCCACTTCTCTGAAGAGATGGCTCTGAAGTCTCAAACTGTAAATTGCGATCCCTGCAGGAACTCGCTAAGGTCCGCTATGATCTGTGCCCACGCCACATGAAGGACAAGCAGTTCTGGACAATCTACTTCCTGCTCGCCAGGACCTACATCTTGCCGTAAGCTCTTACCTCATTAGCTTTCGCCCATGTGCAACTGCATTGTTCCAGTACAAGTGCTCAATTAGCTTCATGGTGGTGTCGAATTTTTGGATCCTCAGTTAGGAATTCTAGTCCAACCTGTTCCTTAACACCCCATCAAAGTATTCCATATCTAAGCATGATTGTTTCAGTTAAATCTAGTACAACTGTGCTGTCCTTGTACATAAAATCCAGCCAAAAGGGATTGTCATCTGAAGATAATAGACTATGTCAAATGTGAGTACCTGTATATGTGTTGAAATTCCCGTGGATCAAATGTAAAGTGTGGTCTCTGTTTGCTGAAGTACCCTTTGAGGTGTAATGCTTCCACCAGAGATTAGCTACAGTACTGGTGCTCTTAGTTTCATAAAATTTCTGGCATCACACCGGTATCTCAGTAAAGCAACTAGTATTATGGAATGTGGTAGCCATGGAGGTGATTGCTCATTGCTGTACTTCACTAGCTTCGACTTACTGAAAGACTACATTGAAACTGTTAACTGGTTCAAGATTAAACTGAACCACTGCAGCTACCTTGGTTAGATAATCTGGCTGAAATAAGAACTCAAATCCTTGGTTAGTCTGGGAGATGTATCTGTTAAAGGTTGAGCTTACATAATTCAGGCTAACATTATTGGTTATCATGTACGGTGATGAGACCAAATTTTATATGGATGTTCTTCTGCAATTTTGTGCAGAATTTACTATCAGCTACTCTTTTAGCAGCTGTTGAGACTTGAGAACCGAGATGTATTGATGTGTTGTGGTCATCATAGAGAGTTAAGCTCCAGCTGATATATTGATACTCTAATTCTGTCCTGCCATGGGTTATCAACAACATCAACATTTAAAACATGTTGTGTTCTTACAGGTACGAGTTACGTGCCATACAAAAAGAAAAGGTAAGAAGGATGGAGACAGAGAACGGAAAGTCAAAAGATGTGATTGCTGTTGAGGTGGAGATGCAGGAATCAAAATGCAGTAGAGAATCTCAAACGTTACCAGATGATTCAGAACCTCAGGGTTCATAGTTGATGTTGCTGATGGCATATTAGGTAAGGTTCGGAAGCAGCAGTATCAAAATTGATATCCAACTTATTTCAGAGCTCATATTCTCAGTTGGATGACCCAGGTTTCAAAACTGTATTTTGCAGAAGCTTCAGATGCATGGGCTGAGTGTTCATTGTGGCTTCTGGATGGATGTAGCAATCTGCTCAGTGTGCCATTGGGGTGCCTGTATATGTAGTAATCAAATTTTGGAGTTTAGGAATTTTGAGGCAGCACGCTGCATCTGCTGATAGCTCAACATAGCAGCTGTTTGTTGGCTGTGCACTGACATGTAAGCTGGTGTGAACTTGGCCGTGATCTTGAATTGAAGTCCATGTACTCCCTCCGCCCCAAAAAGCTTGTCTTAGATTTGCCTAGATACGGATGCATCTAGACACGTAGTGTTAGATACATCCGTACCTAGATAAATCTAAGACAAGCCTTTTGGGACGGAGGTAATACTCCCTCCGTCTGAAAATACTTGTCATCAAAATGACTAGAAGGGGATGTATCTAGATGTATATTAGTTCTAGATACATTCTTTTTATATTCATTTTGATGACAAGTATTTTCGGACGGAGGGAGTATCTTTTATGTATTCTTGTGCGGGCTTTTCCCCCATATTGTTTGAGGCATTCACAGCTTACTGTTTCGCTGCCCAGCTATTCTGGAACTTTACAGGAAATTCTGCTGCACTGAAACATTTGTTATGCACGTCGAGTTGATTTTACAGGGATTTCTAGTCTCATTTAAGGCAGATTTTCTGCTTAATTTAGTTAGGCATAAGGCATACGAGTCACATCTCAAATTAATTGTGTGTTTCATGACATCTCAAACTGAAATCAAGATCCCAAGACTGAAACTGGACAAATTGATGCGAAATATTTGTTCCATTATAAAGTCAATACCATAGTATGATGCATACAATACTTCCTCCATACGGAATACGCTTAGATACATCCGCTTGAGCGTGAACTAATTCAAGACGGAGGGAGTAGGCAGGAAGACGCAGGGAAATAGCAGAGTGGTAGTATCATGTAGGTCAAATGCTTAGCAGCATGGTTAATTGAATCAACTTGCAGAGAGCAGAATACATGCTGTACACATTACACTCAATATCACAATTGGCATGATACAGTACTGTATATCAGCATGTGCAATGCCAAACAGGATGGGATAAGTATGAACTGATTAGGCATTTGCATGCTATGGCAGTTTAGCTTTCATCACCCAAGTAGCTTTGCAGCAGATTATAAACTACCTCAACATATTGTAGTCTCGGTCTCTCGGATTCAGGTTTTCAAAAATTAATTGCAAACGGGGCATGTTTTTTATAAAAAAAATAGTACTGTATTAGACAATCATAGTCTTCTCGCAAAAAAAAAAATACAACCATAGTTCTCGTCCATCCCCTCGATCCTTTACAGTTTTCGTTAAGAAAATAGATCAAGATTCATCAAAAGTACGAAGCACCCCAATCATAATAAAATTTATAATATATTTTATTGCAACGCTGAAAGTGGGCATGAGAGCAGCTAGTACTTGCTCCCTAGATTTTTTTTTATGACACCGGCTAGGCAATGGAGGGCACGGGTGTCAAAATGGACGAAAAGTGAGTTTGACACCACATTTGGCCTGGAGCGCCTTTTGAAACAGAGACAGGCAGGGAGGGAGCGGAGAAGAGAGCGGAGGGGAAGAGCGGCTTCGACGCAAGTCACCGGCGTCGATATCCCCAGCCACGGCGACGCGTCGCCCGCTTCTTCGGGCCCTGCGAAGCGGGTGAGTCACCCAGCCGACTGAAGAACAGCGGTCAGCGGCCATGTTTTCTTCCTGTTCGCGCCCAATCCGCATACATGCCGTGAAATTTCTAGGGTTCTACTACTAGTAGTAGCAAATTTGTCCCATACCCCATCTATGAGCGGGGGAGGGGGGAGTGGGGTGCTGGTAGAGGCGTGCTAGCTTTCGAATCGACCAAAATAGGAGCAGCAAGTGACCCGACGACGTTTTCAGATGTGCCCTCCAACTCGTGCTGCGTTTTTACGGCTGCCCCTGATTTGTGGTACTGCGACTGAGTGCGACTCCGGACTTGTTTATTTTGCCTCGTGATTATTTTGCGCGGAATTACTACGCTCATGCACGACGATCTCTGTGGTGCTCTGCTCTGCTGTGATCCTGTGATGTTCAGGTTTCAGCTCTCTGGTTTTTAGAGCTCGACAGTCAACACCCTTTCGTAACTTGTGCCAACATCCACCCAAAATACCTTTCTATTTGTTATTAGGAGAGGGCCATCCGTACCATGGAGTCTTGCTTTTGATGTGATGATCTACTAGAGGGACTTAGATTCACATAGCTAACACGTACCCCTACACCTCCTCCTGTTAGAAAAATCAGAAGAAGAAAAAAAAAAGCATCAATCTGAAACTCTTGTTTCAACAAATTTGTGTGATTTGTCCCGGCTAGTTCCTAGAGATATTTCTCCGCACTCCTTTTCTGCAGCTAGTTGATAAATGACAAAACCGTGTCCTCTTTTCTGTTAGGCACTTCTGTTTGTAGCAATCTGGAACCCAAATGCCATTTCAGCGAATTCCGTTTGCTTTTTGCTCCATTCATCAGTTATTATTATTTATTTATTTTTTTGCTTCGGTACTTTCTTGGAGTTTGGCTGATGTTTGGAATTCTCCAGCTCCCAAACGAGGAAGTGATGTGTTTATCTTGTTTGGGTGGGGGTGACCAAACAGGCCAAAATCAATGTACATGAGTCAGCTGACTGAGCCATAGCCAGGCCCATCTATATTTATTTATTTTTCTAATCATGCGCATGTTCTTTCATCTCCCTCTCTTTGTGAAATTTTGACCAATATAAAGCTTGGCTGTTTCTCAAAAAAAAAAAATCTATCTTTCAAACATATCTTGTATCTAAATCCCACCGTATATGCAAAGCTGAAAGCCCCATGCCCCCATCCTCTGCCGTTCTACGAGCTAGTTGCTCTAAGCTCAGCTCTCTCCAATTGATTCATGATAATTAATATCAGCTCAACTAGACAATTCTAGCCTTGTGGAGTATCATTGTAGATTATTACTTCTTTATCTAAACTGTTTGGTTTTATTTTGAGTGACCACTGTGATTGTTAGAGTACGTAATGGGCCTGGGCTGGCGGTATAGCCCGTTAGTCTTAGGGTTAATTAGAGATAAGGGTCGCTTGCTTAGGGGTCAAGTAAATCTTGCTTGGGAGTCAAGTAAACCTCTCTATATAAAGAGAGGAGATGTATCAATCTAATCAAGCAAGAATTAAGAAGGAAAATTCCTTCCCTCTTGCCCGGCCGTGGGCAAAAAAGGCCCTCGGCCAGCCTTCTCGCGTCGTCCTTCTAGCAGCGCCATACCAATTTGGTTTCAGCTAGCTTCGGTTCGATCATGTCTTCACCGCCGCCAAGCCCGTCTCTTCCGCTGCCGGTCACCTTGTCGCCTCCGGCGACCACCACGACCGTCGCCCCACTCCTGCCCGCGCCGGGATCCTCCGTCGCGCCCGCCCCCGCTGTCCTCACCTGGGAGGAGGTGTTCGGGGTGCTGCGGGACCTAACCCAGGCGGTCCAGGAGATCCGCCTGTTCTTGGCCGGGTCCCACGGACCGCACCCGGCTGCGCCGCCCATCGTCGCCCCCACGTCGTCGTGGCTGCCGTGGCAGCCGCCGCATCAGGCGGCCTTCGCCGCGCCGCTGCAGCTGCCATCCATCGCCACCACCGCCCAACACTGGCTGCAGTGGCAGCCGCCGCTCCTAGCGGCCTCCACCGCGCCGCTGCAGCTGCCATCCATCGCCACCACCGCCCAACCCTGGCTGCAGTGGCAGCCGCCGCTCCTAGCGGCCTCCGCCGCGACCGGCGCTCCGCCGCAGCAGCCGCTGCCGCTGCCCGGCACGACACCGCAGCAGCCGCTGCAGCTGCAGCAGCCACCGCCGGTGAGCTCCGCCGCCCAGTATGGGATGCCCTACAACGGGAGTGCGACGACCTCGTTCCCATCAGTGCCGCCGCCATCCCAGGGCGTCCACATCCAGCAGATCAAGTCCCCGCCATCGCCGTCACCGCTTCCGTCTTGGATTGCTACCCGCCACGTGTCGGCGGCGGTGAGGCTGCAGGCTGCTGCACGCGGCTTCCTAGCGCGTCGGCGTGTGCGGGAGATGTGTGGTCTGCAGCTGCCGCTCCTCCAAGTTTCCCTTCGCTGCGCAAAGGACCTCGATCTCGTCTACTGCGTCGGGGATCTTGCGCATGCGGTTTCCCCCACGGGCGGCGAGCATGCTGTTTTCCCCGCGGGCAGCGACCTCAAAGTCTGTGACATCGGCGGTTGGGGAGGCGCACCCCTCCTCGTCATTCTCCATCGCAAGCCCTTCACTCTTCCTTGTGCGGTGCAGACCAACAGCAGTCCGGCGGGGAGAAGGCAGGGTGTCACCGACAGGAGCGCACCGCGTAGCACCACTGCTTTCCGCCGCCGGCCGCCGCGAGGGCGGCTCTGCTGGTCGCTCTTGCGACCACTTCCAAGTGGCCATACACATGCACTCCTTTGGTCCAGGTGGTGTCCATGGGATCCAGGTGGCTGTACACGTGCACGTCCGACATGCTGATGGTGTCCACTTTTTGTTGAGGGGTCCAAAATAAAGCGTCCCAGTCCATTTCAGGTTGAGAGTCATAAAACAAGCCGAGATGTAAAAGGCTTGTTTTTAGGTGTAAGCTTTGTGTTGCGTCGAGTCATGGTTATAAGTTGGTTAGGCTGCAGCTCGAGGACAAGCTGCATGTCCAGGTGGGGTGTAGTGTTAGAGTACGCAATGGGCCTGGGCTGGCGGTATAGCCCGTTAGTCTTAGGGTTAATTAGAGATAAGGGTCGCTTGCTTAGGGGTCAAGTAAGCCTTGCTTGGGAGTCAAGTAAACCTCTCTATATAAAGAGAGGAGATGTATCAATCTAATCAAGCAAGAATTAGGAAGGAAAATCCCTTCCC